TGTAATTAATTAATTAGCTAATGCTAATTTAATTTGACAACTATCAACGAATAACTAGTGCATTAACCAAATATAGCTAATTAATTAGTTATAATTTAAGGTCGAGCGATTTCATTTATGTGACTAATTGGTAGATAAGTTCGAGATGGGCGACTAATTACCTAGTATAGTATTAGTTTAGTTATACATCCCTTTATGGAATTAATTTCAGTATCAATTACTGCACCGACTTTGAATTCCTCAACGAAAAGTTGCGAATGTAGCAAAACAACGAAGAGTAAAAATCCTGTTAAAGAAGATTATTCATCACAGAATCGCATGTAATACAAGACGAAATAAAATATCCACACTGGATGCCACACATTCTCTTGCATCCCCTCTAACAAATTCGGTTTAATTACCTAGAGAAAGATGCAAATACGAGTTCTTAGCTCGAACTTTATACGAGAGAGGGAAAAAATTGTTTAAGTTCATTCACATGGTATTTATTGCAACCTTCCTAACCTATCCCAACTGCTTTCCGAGTGCAGAACCGGTTTAAAAAAGAATTAAATTTAAACACCCACTAAATATTCATCACCACTTAAGGCGCAGATTAAAAAATAACCCGCAGGAATTTAATTAACGCCCCAATCCCGTTTCGGGATTAGCCGCGCCGATATTTTTTTCCCTTTAAATCCGGCCCTGCACCGGCCCGTGCCATCGATTTCAAGACAACCTCCTTAATGAGCTCGCCGAATTTTTACGGCAAATCGCGCGGAAGGGGTAGTAAAAAAATCGAGCAAATGAACTCAAAATATGATAAAGAATGCATGATAATTACAAGAGTTTAAGAGTCGAGTTAGGACTAGCGTCTTAATTCTACCTCTTCGTCTACACCGATAGAATATAAAAACTAATTACAACAGTCGTAGTGCTTAACTTCTTACGGCAATTACGTATTAAAAACAAGGTAGATTGCTTTTTAGAAGGTACGTTAATTTTTATAAACTAATCAGGACATGTTTAAATTAAAGAGACGGCGATGAGGAGGACGTGGGAGTATAAAAGAAGAAACTTTTACGTGTTTTTCCTTACAATCTCGCACTTCCTCAGAATAAACCCTCGTTAGTCCAAACGGTAATCATTTTTTAATTCACTTACCTTTTCGCGACAAAAAATGACTGTCCTTACTCAGATTGTCATAATTTTAGCTGAACTTCGACCCTCTAATTCGAGACGTTTGTCGGGGGAAAGATTCGGCCTTAAATATTAAGAACATGTGCGGAACGAAAAATGAGGTATGCATCAGGAGGTGGATCCTTAAATTTATGTCGAACTCATCTTTCACTATTAGAGAACTAAAAGAAAGGAAGAGAACAATGGAGGACGAAGTGGTCGTATAAATTCGCCTGATTTTGAGATCGGCCTCACTTGTAAGTTGCAATGGAAGCCAAATTTGTACCGAACTCAAAAATTTCATTATCAGTATCAATTTCAAACTGGTTAAAAAAATTCCAATTTAGGAATAAATTCAAAATCATTGAAAAGTTCCGAATTTCCAATGTGGGCACGTTTGTTTTCGAATCAATTGATCAAAAATACACCACTATTTCCCGGTTTTTGATCAAGTGGAAAAGATGGAAAAGTTCTGAATTATTTTACTTACAGTATAGTTGCCTAGGCTCAGAAGTACGAACAAAAAATCGTATTGGATGGGTGGTGATTCATTTATCTTCATTAAAGGTTCAAAGTATTGGAAAAATCACGTACCCCCTTAGACCACCTCTTGATCCCAGTTCTGGAACAGAGCACAGATTTAAAAAAAATTGGCTGAGAAAAGCTAGTTAAATTAATGACTCACCTCTCAGGTATCTGTATTTCAAACACTGGCACGTCGTTCACACAACACATTTGCATTGTAACTGATTACGCTATTGAAATTTGTATATCAGGACCCGTTTTTGTACACCTGAAACATTTGGAGGTCAACGTCGCTGTGACGTTCTTATCTAGCGCTGTTGATGAATGGTTTGCAAGTAATCGATAGGATTAATCGGTTTACCGTTGGAAATTTGGACAATTTTTAAATGTTGAGACGAAATTTTCTATTTGCTCATAATTCAAAGTTTTACTGTACTGCGTTTTGAAGGGTTTCGAAAACCCGGTAGATTTGAAGGATCCAAAACTTAATTTTGATTTTCAAAGCATTCTACAAATTTAACATGTGATGTTCTGATCCAACAATTCATTTTCTACAATTTTACCATTCAATTTCCGATCAGTATCAGAATTTCTACTTGGACCTACAATATTTTTATAACATTTTAAGGTGAAACCAAAAGATTTCAAGGGGATGAACCCGACTCTTTGGTGAGCATGGCAAAATTAAAAAATAATGAAAATTTAAGATTTCATATGTGTCAAAAAGATTTCCATAAGATATTTCAAATTAAAGATAAAAAAAATTGTTTATAGAAATTATATTATACTATCTAAACCATCTCCAAAATTATTTTAAATTAACATTGAAAGTGTCTTCAAGAATTAGTTCCTATTTCGACAAGATTTTGAGAAAATGTTGCGGTTCCACAAATCATTATTGTGTGATTTTTCAAAAATATCTCGAAAGACCAAAAAACGATAAATTTGATAAACAATTAAAAGTTGTAAATTCGAATGAGTAGTAACATGGCGAGAAGAGGCGGCGCAAAAATCCCATAATGAATTAAAAGGACTACAATAGGGTTTCAGCTGCTGGACCCACCTCGCAAAGTTTCAGCTGCTGGACCAACCTCGCAAAGTAATAGAATAGAGGACATAGCTTCGGCTTCGGCGGCTGCGCCGCCTTGCCTCGCCCTGAACTACTAAATTTTAGTTTCGGCAGTTTTGTAATCGGCAAACCTGCTGAAAATGAAGTGTTATCTCGGATAAGTAGTGATTGAGCGAGGGGAGGCGGCGCAGCCGCCGAAGCCGAAGCTATGTCCCCTACTGTATGAAAAGAAATGTCATAGGAAACATATCTTCGGCTTCGTCGGCTGAGTGGTCCCAACCTCGCAAAGTAATACAATACGGGACATAGCTTCGGCTTCGGCGGCGGCGCCGCCTTGCCTCGCCCTGTTCTACTCATTCCAATTTTAGCTTCGGCAGTTTTGTAATCGGCAAACCTGCCAAAAATGAAGTGTTATCTCGGCCAAGTAATGACAGGGTGAGGGGAGGCGGCGCAGCCGCAGGGGCCGAAGCTATGTCCCCTATTGTATGAAAAGAAATGCAATAGGAAACATATCTTCGGTTTCGTCTCAACTCGCAAAGTAATATAATAGAGAGCATATTCGACTTCGAAGGCTGCGCCGCCTCGCCTCGCTCTGTACTACTCATTCCAGTTATGTCATAGGAAACATATCTTCGGCTTCGTCGGCTGAGTGGTCCCAACCCCGCAAAGTAATACAATACGGGACATAGCTTCGGCTTCGGCGGCGGCGCCGCCTTGCCTCGCCCTGTCCTACTCATTCCAATTTCGGCAGTTTTGTAATCGGCAAACCTGCCAAAAATGAAGTGTTATCTCGGATAAGTAGTGATAGGGCGAGGGGAGGCGGCGCAGCCGCCGAAGCCGAAGCTATGCCCCCTATTGTATGAAAAGAAATACCATAGGAAACATATCTTCCGCTTCGTCGGCTGAGTCGTCCCACCTCGCAAAGTAATACAATAAGGGACATACCTTCGGCTTCGGCGGCTGCGCCGCCTTGCCTTGCCCTGTACTACTCATTCCAATTTTAGTTTCATCAGTTTTGTAATCGGCAAACTTGCCGAAAATGAAATGTTATCTCGGATAAGCAGTGATAGGGCGAGGGGAGGCGGCGCAGCCGCCGAGGCCGAAGCTATGTCCCCTATTGTATGAAAATAAATGCCATAGGAAACATATCTTCGGCCTTGTCGGCTCACCTTGCAAAGTAACACAATAGAGAGCATAGCTTCGGCTTCGGCGGCTGCGCCGCCTCGCCTCGCCCTATACTACTCGTTTCAATTTTAGTTTCGGCAACTTTGCAATCGGCAAACCTGTCGAAAATGAAGTGTTATCTCGGCTAAGTAGTGATAGGGTGAGGGGAGGCGGCGCAGCCGCCGGGGCCGAAGCTATGTCCCCTATTGTATGAAAAGAAATGCAATAAAAAACATATCTTCGGTTTCGTCTCACCTCGTAAAGTAATATAATAGAGAGCATATTCGGCTTCGGAGGCTGTGCCGCCGCGCCTCGCCCTGTACTACTCATTCCAATTTTAGTTTCGGCAGCTTTGCGATTGAAAACCTGCCGAAAATGAAGTGTTATCTCGGATGGGTGGTGACAAGGTGAGAGGAGGCACGCAGCCGCCGAGGCCGAAGCTGTGTCCCCCATAGTATTAAAAGAAATGCAATAGGAAACATACCTTCGGTTTCGGCAGCTGAGCAGTCTCACCTCGCAAAGTAATACAATAAAGAGTATATTCGGCTTCGGCAGCTGCGCCGCCTCGCCTCGCTCTGTTATTACCCATTTCAAATTTAGTCTCAGCAGCTTTGCAAACCGCAAACCTGACGAAACTAAAGCGTAATCTCGAATATGTATAGTCAATGCTTGAAACGTGAATATATCAAAAATAAATTGCAATCTCAAAATGACCGAACGTTTAAAACTGTCAGAATTTCGTGAAATTTTGTTGTGTCCGTTCGTCTGCCCGTTCCCCAAATTTCCTTTTTTTACTGAAATTTTGACCCAAAACCCAAAATTTAATTAACTTCAAATATGAAAATTTCTGTTAAACTGAAACAAAAGACGGTCTTCCGAAATATCAATTACGGGGGTACTTCGAAAAATCGGCCGCGCAATAAATGCACGTCGTAACAGTTCCACAGACACGCTTTTTGCCCATTAAAGTTGGTATTTATTGATACTCAGGTCTATAAAATTGCAAATGCTAGCTCGTATACGTACTTTTTTCGCATACTTACCGATCATAATGTTATCAAAGGAATGTCATTTATAGCAGCACGCCGCACTAATCGGAGGTCCGAACGCTACATCCTGCCCGCTCTGTCACAAAATGTTCCTCGGCGGCGAGGCGCTCATGGAACACATGAAGCACACGCACAAAGATCCGAACGCCTCAGGTGTTGCCAGTAAGTATCTTTTCTAATTGTTCCACTAACAATTTAGCCTACTTGATTGTGTACAAATACTTTGTATGTATATACATAAAAAAACTGGAAAATAATTAATCACTGTCTAAATGCACTTAAAAATTCAAAAGGGCTTTTTTCTACAACAGTTGTAACATCACTGCATCGATTAGCAAAAAGCTAAAAGAGCTTAAAAGCATTTTTGTTTCCTTCCCTTATTTATTTTTTAATTGTATCTCTCCTCACTTTTACCTCTCTTCTTTTTTTTCCGGTCGCGACTTGCATTGCGAAACGAATCCTTTTTTTCTCTCTCCTCTCGTATTATTAATATATAAAAAGAAGTTTTGATTTCTCTTTTAAGACGAGACAAAACTTTTCAATAAAGAAACATTTTAATAACTTTTCTTTTTCAAAGAGATTCGAGTACTTTGTGCCAGTCTGTCTAATGTTATTAAAGAATCAGAAATACCAAATGTTTCGAAAAGAAGAAAGAGAGAAGGGTTTAAAAATTACTAAATTACATTCTTATAAGGATTCGCATTCAGTAATTTCGCCCCCATCTCTTTGCAACGTTTGCTGGACTCATACATACAAAGTATGGTGGCGTATGGTTTTGTTACACGCGTTGTAATGGGACCATAGTTTGTCTCGTACGGGAGGCGAGCCGTACCTAAATTTCTATGAGAATAATAAAATTGGTTGCTTTGCGGTTACCTTTTATCCTAATTTAAATCTAGCGCTGCTTGGTGTTGGTTTTTGCCTTATTAACAATAAAGTAGGCAACGGAAGAGCGTTGCCTCAAAAGTTAAACGCGTCGCATGCGTCGCCGCCGCGCACATGCGAGGTGTTGCCCTTAAACAGAAATTTAGTGTAATATAATGAGCTTTTTAATGAAGATCCTGGGGTGCTTTGCTTTATCTTGTTTTTCTCTCTCTGTTGACGTCATCGATCCTTATTTAGCGAAGAGGAGGACGGCGAACCATCCTTGTCCCGTATGTGGAAAACATTATGTCAACGAAGGATCTTTAAGAAAACATCTCGCGTGCCATCCTGAGACTTCTCAATTTTCCAGCTCTTTGAGAATGTGGCCATGCTCTGTATGTCAGGCTGTTTTCACGCACGAATCAGGTAGTTTTACAATTAAAATTTCAATTATTATTATTATTATTTGTTTATTTGTAATGTGTGGGTAGCCTTTATCGACATTTCTTGGTTTTTGTTTATTTTTTCGGCCGCTAGCTGCGTACGCCCTAAATTTTACTCTCAATTGTTAAAAGGGCAAAAATTGGATCAATCTAGACTGTAGCGTAGAGAAAGAAAAAAACCACGGATGTGACATTCGAAATTTTGACTTGCCAGCTTGAACAGGAAGCACCTCATTTCCCTTATCCCGATCCCGACTTAATTGTCACTCAGCAAATGGACGCCACAGACTGGGCGCAAGCAAAGTGTGCGCTGGTCGCAATATTTCCCTCTCCTTATCCTTGCTTAACATGCCGCCAGCAACTGGGTTGCGATCATTGCAAATGCGCGCCCTACGCAGTACACTCTCGGCACAGCCCTTTTTTAAATGTGGTGCCGAAATATGGGCCTGCTATTGCGATGGAACCCGATAGAAAAACGGTTCAGAGCTATCTAACCCAATTATGTGCAGTTTTGCGCCTTTGTGATGAAATTTTGCGCCTCAATATCGAGTAAAAATTATATTCCCCCAACCGCAAACTTTTTACTGCACGTTTTAACCATGCCCCCCCCCCCCAGAGAAAATTTTGACACCGACAGTAAAAGTGTTACAGCAAGAATCCCATTGACCTGGAATAGCAGCGAAGATTCCAGCGATAGTGCCAAAGCCGCCGAAGCTATATCCTCTATCTGGGCCGCCTCACCTCGCTCTGTTATTAAGTCAATCGGATTGACAGTGACAGTGCGAGGCGAGCTCCTAAAGGCTCAGCTTCTGATATTGTATTAAAAGAAATCCAATGCCAACATACCCTCGGCTTTCGACAATAGATGACATAGCTGCGCCGTCTCGCCTCGCCCTGTTACTACAGAAAAGCTGCCACAACTGAAGCCTTATCTCGGATTGGTTGTGACAGTGCGAGACGAGGCGGCCCGCTACAGAAGCCATGTCCTTTATTGTACTAAAAGGAGTGCAATAGGGAACATATATTCCGCTTCAGCAGCTGGGCCGTCTCACCTTGCTCTTTTACTACGTCAAACCTGCCGAAGCGTTATCTTGGATGGGTAGCGACAAGGCGAGGCGAAGTGCGCAGTTACCAAAGCCCGCAACTATGTCCTCTATGGCATTAAAATGAATACAATAGGGAACATAGCTTCGGCTTCGGCGGCTGCGCCGCCTCGCCTCGCCCTATTACTATATCAAAGCTTCCGAAACTGAAGCGTTAACTCAAATTACTAGTAATAAGGGGGAGAAAGGCGGCGCAGCCACCGAAATCGTTGCTATGTCTCCTAAAAAATAATCATATAAATCTTATTTTCATCGGAAAATTAAAAGCGCCATTTCGCAAAGAGAAGAGCGCATTTCAGAGACCCTAAAAGATTTTGGAACACTTTCAGAGCTTTTAAAAACCGTTTGCGATTTTAAAAGCTCCAAAGGCTCATTAAATATTATAAAGGCTCAGCTTCTGAACAGAAGGTAGGATTTCAGGAATTCCAAAAGCTTCTAAGGCTTACTATAGCTCCTAAAGGCTCAGCTTTTGACCTCTATTGTATTGAAAGGAATGCAATGGGAGCATAGTTACAGCGGCTGGGCCGTCTCACCCCGCAAAGCAATGCAATAGATGACATAGCTTCGGCTTCGGCGGCTGCGCCGCCTCGCCTCGCCCTGTTACTACTGACAAACTGCCACAATTGAAGCGTTATCTCGAATTGATAGGACAGGGCTTCGGCAGCTGGACTGTCTCACCTCGCTTTGTTACTATGCCGAAGCTGCCGAAGCGCTACCTCGGATGAGTGGTGCCAAGCCGAGGCAAGGCGGCCCAGCAGCCGAAGCCGAAGCTATGTCCTCTATTGTGTTAAAAGGAATGCAATAGAGAACACAGCCTTGACTCCTGCGCCGCCTCGCCTCTCCCGATGCTTCATCAAAGCTACTAGAACTGGAGCGTTAGCATTAGCATTAGAGGGGGGGGGGGCGTTGTATCTGCCGAAATCGATGCCCTGCTCTCAAAAAAATAATCATCTGAAGCTTTTTCATCATGGAAATTTTGTTGAGCTTTTGAAAACAGTGTACGACCCTTAAAAGCTCCCTAAGATTCACAAAAGATTTTAATGGTTCAGCGCCTGAACAGAAGAGCGCATTTCAGAGACAATAGAAACTTTTGAAAATCTCCCGAAGCTTTTGAAAACAGTTTATGACACCTAAAGGTTTTAAAGGCTCAGCGTCTGAAGAGAAAAGGGCATGTCAGGGACCCTAAAAGTTTTTGGAACACTTATGGAGGTTTTGTAAACAGTGTACGACCCTTAAGAGCTTATAGGACCCACTAAAGAATTGAATGGCTCAGTGCCTGAATAGAAGCGATGATTTCAGGAACTCTAAAAGCTCCTAAAGGCTCAACTTCTGGCCTCTATTGTATTAAAAGGAATGCAATGGGAACATAGCTACGGCTTTTGTCTCACCTCTCAAGGTAATACAATAAAGAACATAGCTTCGGCTTCGGCGGCTGCGCCGCCTCGCCTCGCTCTAGTATTACCGAAAAGCTGTCGCTAAAGCGTTATCTCGGATTGGGAGGACAGGGCGAGGCGAGGCGGCTCAGCCGCCGAAGCCATGTCTTCTATGGTATTAAAATCAATGCAATAGGGAACATAGCATCGATTTCGGCGGCCGAAGTCGAAGCTATGTTCCCTATTGCATTGATTTTAATACCATAGAAGACATAGCTTCGGCGGCTGCGCCGCCTCGCCCCGCTCTAGTATTACCGAAAAGCTGTCGCTAAAGCGTTATCTCGGATTGGGAGGACAGGGCGAGGCGAGGCGGCTCAGCCGCCGAAGCCATGTCTTCTATGGTATTAAAATCAATGCAATAGGGAACATAGCATCGATTTCGGCGGCCGAAGTCGAAGCTATGTTCCCTATTGCATTGATTTTAATACCATAGAAGACATAGCTTCGGCGGCTGCGCCGCCTCGCCCCGCTCTAGTATTACCGAAAAGCTGTCGCTAAAGCGTTATCTCGGATTGGGAGGACAGGGCGAGGCGAGGCGGCTCAGCCGCCGAAGCCATGTCTTCTATGGTATTAAAATCAATGCAATAGGGAACATAGCATCGATTTCGGCGGCCGAAGTCGAAGCTATGTTCCCTATTGCATTGATTTTAATACCATAGAAGACATAGCTTCGGCGGCTGCGCCTCCTCGCATCGCCCTAGCATTACCGAAAAGCTGCCGCTAAAGCGTTATCTCGGATTGGGGGGACAAGGCGAGGCGGCACAGCCGCCGAAGCCGAAGTTATGTCTTCTATGGTATTAAAATCAATGCAATAGGGAACATAGCTTCGGTTTCGGCCGCCGAAATCGATGCTATGTCCCCTAAAAAATAATCATTTGAAACTTATTTTCATCGGAGAATTAGAAGCGTCATTTCTCAAAGAGAAGATAGCATTTCAGGGACCATAAAAGAGGCCTTGAAATACTTTTGGAGCTCTTGGAAACAGTTTACCACTCTAAAAGCTTCCAAGACTTTCTAAGTATTTGAAGACTCCGCTTCTAAACAGACGCGACGATTTCATGAACTCTAAAAGAGTCAGCTTCTGTTATATTTTATTAAAAGGAGTGCAATGGAAACATAGCTTCGACTTCGGTGGCTGCGCCGCCTCGCCTCGTCCTGTTATTACGGAAAATCTGCCACAACTGAAGCGTTATCTTGGAATGGTAGGACAGGGCGAGGCGAGGAGGCGCAGCCGCTGAATCCGAAGCTATCTGTTGTGTTAAAACGAATGCAATAGGAAACATAGCTTCGGCTTCGGCAGATAGTCCGTCTCACCTTGCCCTGTTACTACGTCAAAGTTGTCGAAGCGTTATCTCAGTTTGGCGGTGACATAGCGAGGCGGGGCGGCCTTGTATGGTATTAAAAAATAGGGAACATAGCTTCGACTTCGGTGGCTGTTCCGCCTCGCCTCGCTCTGTTCCTACATCAAAGTTGCTGTTATCTCGGTATGGGCGAGGCGAGGGGGCGCAGCCACCGAAGCCGAAGGTATGGCCTCTATGGTATGGAAAGAAATAAAATACTGAACATAGCTTCGGCTATACTCCCTGTTGTATTCTTTTTACTCATAGCTTCAGCTTCGGCAGCTGGGGCGTCTCACCTCGCATTTGATCTTAAAATTCAGATGAACTTCACCAACATTACGTCATTCTCTTTAAACAATATAGGAGCATACCTTCCTCTCTTACCCCTCGCCGCCTCGCTTAACCCTATTGCTACATCAAAGCTGTCAAAACTGAATAGTTATCTGGGATTGGTAGTAATATGAGGGGGGGGAGGAGTTTTTTTCAAATAGAATCAAATTTGGCGCCCCAACCTTTAATACAAGTAACACGTTTAGCCCAGGCGTGTACTACTTTTTTTATTTCAAACTTCAATTTCATTGCTCTGACGTAAGCTTTCAAGCGCATTAGCTAAGCAGCAAACTTAATTTGCTTAATTTCGCTTGCTTCTGCTGGCTAGCAGTAGGTATTAGATGAAGCTCTTGACCATTTCTAACTATGTAAATGGACAGAATTTCGTGATACTTTCCCAACACAAGCGAAATTGACTGCTCCTTGCCTTATTAACCTAGCTTCCTCGTACCGGGAACCGATTTGAGCCGAAAATGTCACATCGTGGTTTTTTACAATAAAAAAGCGCAAGAAATGTACGCAAACGCCAGTTACGTTGTATGTATGTGCCAGTAGTACGGTTTACGTTCGGCAGCGCTCGCTAGATGTCGCCTGTAATCGTCGAACGATTTTGTAGGGTTACTGACGCACATGGAGCACATGCGCATGGATCCGAAGCACCAGTTCGCCGCGCAGTACGTGCTGTCGCGCGCCGCCGCCGAGAGGAGAGAACGCGAGACGCTCCTCGCCGCCGTGTCCGCCGCGTCGGCCGCTTCCAGCAGCGGACTGCTCGGCCTAACCGGAATGGGACAAGGTAAGCACGCGCGAAATTCGCACCGGTCTGATATTCGTACCACTTGCAGCGAGCGGCAGCCCGATGTGCGCGTCGCCGAGCGCGCACAGCGACAGCTCCTCGGGCAACGGCAGACTATCGTCGGCCGGGTCGGAGGCCGGCGGCATGAACAATAATAACAACAATTGTAATCCGAAGCTCGGCGATATACTTAGAAGTGAGTGCGATCGGCGGAGTGTGTTAACCGAATTAACCGGACGATTTTGCGCAGGTAACAACGGCTTGCACCAGCAGTACAATGTCGAGGAGCAACTGCACAACGCGAATCGCATGGCGGTCATCGCGAATATGGTCGGACAGGGCGGCGTGCCGCCCGGTCTCGGCTCGGATTCGTCGGCTGCCGCCAATATCGCCGCCGCCAACATTGCAAATTTGGCTATGCGTCTTGGTGTCACACAGGTATGTACTTTTTATATAGAGACAATTCAAACAATGCAGACAATAGAATCAATAAGACAGTAAAAACAATTGAATCAATACAGACAATACACACGATAGATACAATACAGACCATGCAAACGATAGAAACAATAGAGGTATTAATCAATAAAGATAATCAATACCATAGATACAATTAATACTATAGAAACAATAGATCCAATAGATATAGTAGATACCACATTAAAAAAACAATAGAGACAATACACACAACAGATACAATACAGATAATATAAGCAATGATAAAAACAGTAGGTTAGGTTGATGGATATATTGAAAATATGAGCAAATGATATGTTAGGCAAGTCAAGTGAACAACAGCAGTAATCCGTCAACGCCGCCCATAACAAATGAAACACTATCGGCATCGGTGACCGCAATGAACGCGATGAGGGCTTCCATGGATAGTATACGTAATATGGATGCCGTTAGATCATCTGTTATGGACATGTCGTCGCCGCCTCAGCAGCCGCAGGACGCGCTCAGGATGCAGCAGCACGCCGAGGCGCTGCTCAGATCGCAAGCCGAGGCCGCCTTACGACTAGCGATGAGCCAAGTAAGTTACGATCGCGGAACGTGTTCAGAGCATTTCTAAATTGATAATAGGAAATTTTGAAACAGGCGCTTCCGCAGTTAAACCAGCAGGAACCGAGCAATCCGCTCAGGCACAACGGCAACTACCAGCCGCACCAGAGCCAATCGTCGCAGCAGCTCAGTCCGGATTTAACGGAGGCGCTGCGCCTGCAGGAGCAGAGACTGGAGCAGGCGCTACGCTTGCACGGTAGCGATCCGCGATCGCTGGGTTTTTCGCTATCGGGCCAGCAGCAGAATCAGCAACCATGAAATTTCAGTTACTACTGAGCGCACGAAACGTAGTCTCCTCCTTGTCTACTTTACTTTCTTTGTTTTCATTTTAAAAATGTGCCAAACTGTTTCATGCGCTCAGTAAACAACCAATGGCTACGCCATGTTAAATCTTAATTAATTAAATGCACTTTAAAAGTGTAATTACAAACTAATGTATAGTAATTATAAATAAGTGTTATATACAAGCCTAAAGATACATGTTAGGGTACTTTTACGTGTTACTTACGTCATTTTTTTAGGTTAGGTGTACATAGTTACGAAGAAGATAGTCTTGTGCGAATGATTAGTATAATATTATAATACGTAAATTTTACTTTTTTGATTCTGTGATGATTTTCTTTTGTTTTTTTTTGTTTTTTTTTAAAAGAAACAAGCTGGCCGGTTCAAATGTAAAATACGTAGCAATAAAAACAAAGAGTTTCTTTTCGAATTTGTTGCAATTGTTAAAGCTGTGATTTGATGTAGAAAAGATTTATTTTTAAAGCAGAGAGCGAAAACAAAAATTGTAGTTTTAAATTGTGCCAGAATCGGCATTTTTGCACAAATGTATGAATGTTTGATGGTATCCTCTTTTGTTTGTTTTGTTTTAAGTTGATGTGGTTTTTCATTATTTACCACTGGCGGTGTTTCCGCGATCGAGTGGAGTCGTTGCCAGTGGTTTATATGTATATATGCAATAGTTGCTTGTACATACGCATGTTTAGACTAATGGCGCTTGTGGGCAAGGTTCGAGCGCCTAGGCGTCCGAGCGTTGCCCAGAAGTGCGTCCGTCACTGTATTCAATAGCCATAGCACAACAATAGTTACAAAAGAATCAATAGTCATACTCCAATTTCCCAAAAGAATGACTAAACGCCTGAAGCAAACTTCTCGCGGTCTTAGACGAGACAACCACTGATTATGACGACAATAGTAATACATTACGCAATAGCCCGGTTGCACTAAGTGCTACAAACATTTTGCCCACAACAGTATATAAATAAAAAAAACAATTAGCAATAGCCCAAACATGAGCGGGCTCTGCACTCTGCCGAGGAAGCCCATCCCCGACAGTCAGCAGAGTCGGCTAATGTATTCAAACCTTTAGATAGCCCTTCAAAAGTAATTTTCATAAATATTCGAGTCTAATGCCCGAACGGACGAAATATTTATCGTAAAATTACGCCAAATTTCTTTGCAATAGTCTCCATATACAAACAGTTTAATATTAAAACAGGTTTTCATTTCAAGCATTTTTCAAATTGTTTCCATTAACGACTGTCGCCTTTTGGTAGCGGAAGCGGTTAAAAAAAATAGACGGCGCCCCACCCCATCGTTATCGCTTCACTAGAGACCTCCTCGGCTTCGTAGTTCAAAAAACCAAGAAAACTACCGCTACCTCCACCAAACCGAGCCAGTCTCTTTATTTCCAAACGAACAATAGCCCAAACGCCTAGGCGCAACGAGCCTAGGCCATACAAAAACTTTCGGCCTCCACATTTCCGTTCGAAATTCGAAGTTTCGTTTCTCAACACTCAGCAAGAGCGACCTCCGCCTAGACCACTTTAAAAAATTCACTTCGGCAGCTCGCGGACTTCGCCTTACAAAATCAACGTTTCGCTGTAGAGAATAATAATGACACACTGAATGTCACTTTTGGGAAAGCTCAACAAGCATTTCGGCCACAATTCAAACGCAAAATTCCAACAAAATTCTTCAAAAAAAAACCACATAGATAGGTAGTTAATGTTACGTGTGTTACGTTACGTTTTTAATTGTACGTAAATAAGTTGTAGTTACGGCCGAAGGTAATCTCGGGGCCGTCGCGATGTTGCAAAAAACGACCGCGGTTTAGGCCACTCCACAATGTACGCCATAATGCACTCTTAGATAAATAGTTGAATGTTTGTTGTTACATAAACTACCTACAATAGTGTTTTACAATAGTTCTCAGTTCTCTTAATAAAGACATTCCAAGTGGCTTCAGCCGTAAGCGTAACGCCGACGAGATTGCCGTAACCGCAACGCGCCCCTTCAAAAAATTGCCACAAACCAATTTTGGGACAGTTGCGGTTATCGAAAGGCCGTAGTGTTAAATTAGTTCGTAATCTAGAAATTTTCTTTGGTGCTTCTATGCCCCGGGTGGACCACCCGGCCTTTTCGCTTAATATATCCCCGTTTCCCCTCGTGTGATGTGCATTTATCAAATTTTGTTAAAAGCATCACAAATTCAAAATCTACATCACACACACACACACACAAATGGCTCAATGGTTTTCTTTTTATTATCATTAAGTTTTACGTATACACTGTTAATGTTTGCTACAGTTTGTAATTTTATACTTATTAATCCTAGTACTTTAATTGCTTTTAATTAATAATTTATTATACGTAAGTCCTCTGATATTATTTTACATATCGCCAGATTCACAAAATTTAATTTATTACCCGCAGTATTTAGTTTAATTAATGTTAAGAAACAAATTGCCATTGTTTAAATTTCGACTGCCATCTTATTTTGCTTTATAGTTATTTATGTTCCTATATTATACTATTTTTGTTTGTGTAAGCTGTAGTTGCATTACAGTCTTAATAAATAATTTTTTTAGGTGTGAATGCGAGAGAGTGACTGTTGCGAATTTCGATTTTTTATCGTAAAGAGAAAAGAAATTGTTATCGTTGTGTTAATTTTTGATGTTATCATTTTAAAAGAGAAAACGGTAAAAAAAAAATAATCGAGAAAATGTATATATTACATATTTTTTCTAGGCAACAAAAATGTGAATTGAAAATCAAAAAAAAAATGTGTAATTATGCATTTCGTAATTAAAGGCTAAAACAAAAAAAAAGTTAGCTGTGAAACTTGAGGCATTACGGAACAAAGAAGAAAAATATTGTAATATAAATTTTGAGAAAAAATTGTGTTTTAGGAAATGGTTAAAATGTTTTTATTGGAATTCAAATTGATGTATGCCATGCATGTGTGGTTATGTACTCTACTTATTGGAGAATAAACTTAAAAATTACAAAATCTTTTATTTACCCGTAAATAGCGCTCTCTCCAATGACACGAATTTCCAAAAAGTGCTAAAACGACTTAAAAATGTAAACATGTCTTTGGTATTATTGACCATCATGCCTAGTTTCAAGAACTAGAGACGTACATACATCCCATTTAAAAGTTATGAGATATAATTTCTAGAAAAAGCTGTCAAGTCTTTATCAAGAAACAAGTACCTATGCCAGAATCGCAAACTTAAAGTACATGCACAGGGAATGGTAAAAGAACTCACCAACCGCCTCCATGGAATCTGTTTGGACCATCAGCATGTTGAAACGAAGACAGGATCCATACATAAACATGCAATTCATGAATTAGATTTTCAGCAGAAAAGTGCTGGATTTCACCCAACTTTACGAATAGGAACAGCTAGGTTTTCTGAAATTAAAAAACATAGGAAAACAGTGCAATTACTACTACTAATGTTATAATAATTCTTATGACTATTACCGCAAATTAATATTATTGACGCAAGTAAATACGCATTTGCTACATGTGCATATCTGAAGTCTGAATTTGGAGATCTGAATTGGGATCATCGCTTGTATCCTGTAAAGAAATGGAAACTGTCATGTGTCATGTGGAGCAGGAAGTGAATAGTCATCTACTTACATACAAATGAACAGTCGCTTTAGAATTTACCCACCCTCTGTCAATATACTGATCAAAGGGTCCTTGGGCTCCTTTAAGTATTTAAGAAATTGCCATTTTTTTTTTCATTTAACAAAAAACAAGTGTATTTTGTGGAAAAGCATCGAAAATGTGTAGTGTTTGGGTAAAAATTGCGCAATTGTTAAAAAAACCTGTATTTTAATTCTTAATCCACTTCTCATGTGTCTTTTTGACTTACTCATAAATATTGAAATACTTAAAAATTAATAAATTCAAAAAAACCCTCACCAATTGCTCCAATTAGACTCAGGATCTGCAGGTAACACTTCACTCGCGCACCTTTACAATGTAATTCACTCACAACAATTACTGAAAATTAAAAAAAACATATCTCAACAAAAAATACTAGAATTTACCCACCCTCTGTCAATATACTGATCAAAGGGTCTTTGGGCTCATTTAAGTATTTAAAAAATTGCCATTTTTTATTCATTTAAAAAAAAACAAGTGTATTTTGTGGAAAAGCAGTGAAAATGTGTAGTGTTTGGGTAAAAATTGCGCAATTGTTTAAAAAACATTAAAAACAAGAATTTAATTCTTAATACACTTCTCATGTGTCTTTTTGACTTGCGCATAAATATTGAAATACTTAAAAATTAATAAATTCAAAAAACCCTCACCAATTGCTCCAATTAGACTCAGGATCTGCAGGTAACACGTCACTAGCTCACTTTTACACTTTAATTCACTCACAACAATTACTGGAAATTAAAAAAAACATATATCTCAACAAAAAATACTAGAATTTACCCACCCTCTGTCAATATACTGATCAAAGGGTCCTTGGGCTCATTTAAGTATTTAAAAAATCGCCATTTTTTATTCATTTAAATAAAAGACAAGTGTATTTTGTGGAAAAGCAGTGAAAATGTGTAGTGTTTGGGTAAAAATTGCGCAATTGTTTAAAAAACATTAAAAACAAGAATTTTAATTCTTAATACACTTCTCATGTGTCTTTTTGACTTGCGCATAAATATTCAAATACTTAAAAATTAATAAATTCAAAAAACCCTCACTAGTTGCTCCAATTAGACAGGATCTGCAGGTAACACTTCACTATCGCACTTTTACACTTTAATTCACTCACAACAATTACTGAAAATTAAAAAAAAAACATATCTCAACAAAAAATACTAGAATTTACCCACCCTCTGTCAATATACTGATCAAAGGGTCTTTGGGCTCATTTAAGTATTTAAAAAATTGCCATTTTTTATTCATTTAAAAAAAAACAAGTGTATTTTGTGGAAAAGCAGTGAAAATGTGTAGTGTTTGGGTAAAAATTGCGCAATTGTTTAAAAAACCTGAATTTTAATTCTTAATACACTTCTCATGTGTCTTTTTGACTTGCGCATAAATATTGAAATACTTAAAAATTAATAAATTCAAAAAACCCTCACCAATTGCTCCAATTAGACTCAGGATCTGCAGGTAACACGTCACTAGCTCACTTTTACACTTTAATTCACTCACAACAATTACTGAAAATTAAAAAAAAACATATATATCAACAAAAAATACTAGAATTTACCCACCCTCTGTCATAATACTGATCAAAGGGTCTTTGGGCTCATTTAAGTATTTAAAAAATTGCCATTTTTTATTCATTTAAAAAAAAACAAGTGTATTTTGTGGAAAAGCAGTGAAAATGTGTAGTGTTTGGGTAAAAATTGCGCAATTGTTTAAAAAACCTGAATTTTAATTCTTAATACACTTCTCATGTGTCTTTTTGACTTGCGCATAAATATTCAAATACTTAAAAATTAATAAATTCAAAAAAACCCTCACCAATTGCTCCAATTAGACTGAGGATCTGCAGGTAACACGTCACTAGCGCACTTTTACAATGTAATTCACTCACAACAATTACTGAAAATTAAAAAAAAACATATATCTCAACAAAAAATACTAGAATTTACCCACCCTCTGTCAATATACTGATCAAAGGGTCTTTGGGCTCATTTAAGTATTTAAAAAATTGCCATTTTTTATTCATTTAAAAAAAAACAAGTGTATTTTGTGGAAAAGCAGTGAAAATGTGTAGTGTTTGGGTAAAAATTGCGCAATTGTTTAAAAAACCTGAATTTTAATTCTTAATACACTTCTCATGTGTCTTTTTGACTTGCGCATAAATATTGAAATACTTAAAAATTAATAAATTCAAAAAAACCCTCACCAATTGCTCCAATTCAAACTCAAACCCTCACCAATTCCTCCAATTAGGGTCAGGATCTATAGGTCACACTTCACTCGCGCACTTTCCCACTTTAAGTCACTACCAATTGCTCCAATTAGACTCAGGATCTGCAGGTAACACGTCACTAGCGCACTTTTACACTTTAATTCACTCACAACAATTACTGAAAATTAAAAAAAACACATCTCAACACAAAATACTAGAATTTACCCACCCTCTGTCAATATACTGATCAAAGGGTCTTTGGGCTCATTTAAGTATTTAAAAAATTGCCATTTTTTATTCATTTAAAAAAAAACAAGTGTATTTTGTGGAAAAGCAGTGAAAATGTGTAGTGTTTGGGTATAAATTGCGCAATTGTTTCAAAAACCTGAATTTTAATTCTTAATACACTTCTCATGTGTCTTTTTGACTTGCGCATAAATATTGAAATACTTAAAAATTAATAAATTCAAAAAAACCCTCACCAATTGCTCCAATTAGACTCAGGATCTGCAGGTAACACTTCACTCGCGCACCTTTACAATGTAATTCACTCACAACAATTACTGAAAATTAAAAAAAACATATCTCAACACAAAATACTAGAATTTCCCACCCTCTGTCAATATACTGATCAAAGGGTCTTTGGGCTCATTTAAGTATTTAAAAAATTGCCATTTTTTATTCATTTAAAAAAAAACAAGTGTATTTTGTGGAAAAGCAGTGAAAATGTGTAGTGTTTAGGTAAAAATTGCGCAATTGTTTCAAAAAACCTGAATTTTAATTCTTAATACACTTCTCATGTGTCTTTTTGACTTGCGCATAAATATTCAAATACTTAAAAATTAATAAATTCAAAAAAACCCTCACCAATTGCTCCAATTAGACTCAGGATCTGCAGGTAACACTTCACTCGCGCACTTTTACAATGTAATTCACTCACAACAATTACTGAAAATTTAAAAAAACATATCTCAACACAAAATACTAGAATTTACCCACCCTCTGTCAATATACTGATCAAAGGGTCTTTGGGCTCATTTAAGTATTTAAAAAATTGCCATTTTTTATTCATTTAAAAAAAAACAAGTGTAATTTGTGGAAAAGCAGGGAAAATGTGTAGTGTTTGGATAAAAATTGCAGCAATTGTTTAAAAAACATGTATTTTAATTTTTAAAACACTTCTCATGTGTCCTTTTGACTCGCGCATAAATATTGAAATACTTAAAAATTAATAAATTCAAAAAAACCCTAACCAATTGCTCCAATTAGTTTCAGGATCTGCAGGTAACAAGTCACTGGCGCACTTTTTCACTTTAATTCACTCACAACAATTACTGAAAATTAAAAAAAAACATATATCTCAACAAAAAATACTAGAATTTACCCACCCTCTGTCAATATACTGATCAAAGGGTCTTTGGGCTCATTTAAGTATTTAAAAAATTGCCATTTTTTATTCATTTAAAAAAAAACAAGTGTATTTTGTGGAAAAGCAGTGAAAATGTGTAGTGTTTAGGTAAAAATTGCGCAATTGTTTCAAAAACCTGAATTTTAATTCTTAATACACTTCTCATGTGTCTTTTTGACTTGCGCATAAATATTCAAATACTTAAAAATTAATAAATTCAAAAAACCCTCACCAATTGCTCCAATTAGACTCAGGATCTGCAGGTAACACGTCACTAGCGCACTTTTACACTTTAATTCACTCACACCAATTACTGAAAATTAAAAAAAAAACATATATCTCAACAAAAAATACTAGAATTTACCCACCCTCTGTCAATATACTGATCAAAGGGTCTTTGGGCTCATTTAAGTATTTAAAAAATTGCCATTTTTTATTCATTTAAAAAAAAACAAGTGTATTTTGTGGAAAAGCAGTGAAAATGTGTAGTGTTTGGGTAAAAATTGCGCAATTGTTTAAAAAACCTGAATTTTAATTCTTAATACACTTCTCATGTGTCTTTTTGTCTTGCGCATAAATATTCAAATACTTAAAAATTAATAAATTCAAAAAACCCTCACCAGTTGCTCCAATTAGACTCAGGATCTGCGGGTAACACTTCACTATCGCACTTTTACACCTTAATTCACTCACAACAATTACT